AGGGGGTGATGCGGCCACACGCGCGTGTGCGGGGGTGACACGAGTGGGGACAGGGGCGTGTCTGGGGACACGAGGGCACAGGTGGCACCCGAGCGTGTCACGGGTGGGCACAGGTGACACCCGAGCGTGTCACCGCCACCTCTGTACAGGTGCCACCCGCCCCCACGGCCACGCGTGACAAAGGGACACCCCCGGAGGCGACACCCCCCGGGGGGACACGCGTGACGGGTGACACCCGTGGGGACAGCATCACACGCGTGTGCCCGCAGGACCCTTCCGGGAGGGGTGGGGGAGGGCGGCAGGGCACGGGGAGGGTCACACACGGCACACGGGTGGCACACGGGTGGCACACGCGTGGCACGCACGAACCCAGGTAGGAATTGTGTGCCTGTGGCACACGCGTGTGCCCGCAGGACCCTTCAGGGAGAGGTGGGGGAGCGTCACACGCGGCACGGGGAGGGTCACACACGGCACACGGGTGGCACACGGGTGGCACACGCGCGGCACACGCGCGGCACACGCGTGGCACGCACGAACCCAGGTAGGAATTGTGCCCCACGTCCGCGGCCGCGCCGGGGACCCTCTCTCCGGGCTGGGGGGTGCGGAAGACCCTCAGGTCGGGGGTCGCGCTCTCCACGTTTGTCACAAAGAGCAGCCCTGCCACGGCCGCGCACACGCGGGGGAGGGGGCGTCAGGGCGGCTCGGGGGGCGCCCCCCCCCCGTACCGAGGTAGCTGTTGGCGGGCACGGGGATGAGGGAGGGGTCCCGCTCCTTCTCCCCCCCCGCTTCGAAGGGGCCCGAGTCCGGCAGCAGCAGCTCCAGGGGGCTCCGGGGGAGCCGCTCCACGCGCAGGGTGCCTGCGGGGCCCGGGGGACCCTGAGGGACCCCCGGGGGGGGGGCCCCCCCCAGGGGAACGGGGGGACCCTGAGGGACCCCCGGGCTGGGACCCCCCCGGGGGGGAACGGGGGGACCCTGAGGGACCCCCGGGCTGGGACCCTGAGGGACCCCCGGGCTGGGNCCCCCCCCAGGGGAACGGGGGGACCCTGAGGGACCCCCGGGCTGGGACCCTGAGGGACCCCCGGGCTGGGACCCCCCCAGGGGGAACAGGGGGACCCTGAGGGACCCCCGGGCTGGGACCCCCCCCAGGGGAACGGGGAGACCCTCAGAGACCCCCGGGCTGGGACCCTCAGGGACCCCCGGGCTGGGACCCCCCCCAGGGGAACGGGGGGACCCTGAGGGACCCCCGGGCTGGGACCCTGAGGGACCCCCGGGCTGGGACCCCCCCCCAGGGGAACGGGGGGACCCTCAGGGACCCCCGGGCTGGGACCCTGAGGGACCCCCGGGCTGGGACCCCCCCCCCCCCTCTCGGGGGGACCCTCAGGCCCCCCCCCCCCAGGACCCTGAGGCCCCCCCCCCCCCCCCCCCCCCCCCCCCCCCCCCCCCGAGGGGGTCCCAGCCCCTCACCCTTCCAGTTGCAGGTACCGGGGTCTCTGATCAGGAACAGCCCCCCACACCCCCAAACCCCCCCGGGGGGGTCCCGGCCCCTCACCCTTCCAGTTGTAGGTGCCGGGCGCCCCGAGCAGGAACAAACCCCCAAACCCCCAGACCCCCAAACCCTCACTATAAGGGGGTCCCAGCCCCTCACCCTTCCAGTTGTAGGTACCGGGGTCTCTGATCAGGAACAGCCCCCCAAACCCCCAGACCCTCACTATAAGGGGGTCCCAGCCCCTCACCCTTCCAGTTGTAGGTACCGGGGTCTCTGATCAGGAACAACCCCCCAAACCCCCAAACCCCCCGACCCCCAAACCCCCCCGGAGGGGGTCCCGGCCCCTCACCCTTCCAATTGCAGGTACCGGGGTCTCTGATCAGGAACAGCCCCCCAAACCCCCAGACCCCCAAACCCTTACCATGAGAGGGTCCCGCGCCCCTTACCCTTCCAGTTGTAGGTGCCACAGCCCCCCAAACCCCCAGACCCCAAACCCCCCCGGAGGGGGTCCCAGCCCCTCACCCTTCCAGTTGTAGGTGCCGGGCACCCCGAGCAGGAACAGCCCCCAAACCCCCCGACCCCCAGACCCTCACTATAAGGGGGTCCCAGCCCCTCACCCCCCCAGTTGCAGGTACCGGGGTCTCTGATCAGGAACAGACCCCCCCCCCCCCAAACCCCCAAACCCCCAGACCCCCAGACCCCCAAACCCCCCCGGAGGGGGNCAGACCCCCAAACCCCCCCGGAGGGGGTCCCAGTGCCCCTCACCCTCCCAGCTCTGGGTGCCACAACCCCCCAGACCCCCAAACCCCCCCGGAGGGGGTCCCAGTGCCCCTCACCCTCCCAGCTCTGGGTGCCACAGCCCCCCAGACCCCCAAACCCCCCCGGAGGTGGTCCCAGCCCCTCACCCTTCCAGTTGCAGGTACCGGGGTCTCTGATCAGGAACAACCCCCCAAACCCCCAGACCCTCACTATGAAGGGGTCCCACGCCCCTCACCCTTCCAGCTGCAGGTACCGGGGTCTCTGATCAGGAACAACCCCCCAGACCCCCAAACCCCCAGACCCCCAAACCCTCACCACGAGGGGGTCCCAGTGCCTTTTACCCTCCCAATTGTGGGTGCCACACCCCTGACACCCCCAAACCCCCCGGAGGGGGTCCCGGCCCCTCACCCTTCCAGTTGCATGTACCCGGCGCCCCGAGCAGGAACAAACCCCCAGACCCCCAGACCCCCAAACCCCCCGGAGGGGGTCCCACGCCCCTCACCCTTCCAGTTGCAGGTGCCGGGCGCCCCGAGCAGGAACAAACCCCCAAACCCCCAGACCCCCAAACCCCCCGGAGGGGGTCCCACGCCCCTCACCCTTCCAGTTGCAGGTACCGGGGTCTCTGATCAGGAACAGCCCCCCAGACCCCCAGACCCCCAGACCCCCAAACCCCCCCGGAGGGGGTCCCAGTGCCCCTCACCCTCCCAGCTCTGGGTGCCACAGCCCCCCAAACCCCCAAACCCCCAGACCCCCAAACCCCCCGGAGGGGGTCCCGGCCCCTCACCCTTCCAGTTGTAGGTACCGGGGTCTCTGATCAGGAACAGCCCCCCAAACCCCCAGACCCTCACTATAAGGGGGTCCCGGCCCCTCACCCTTCCAGTTGTAGATGCCGGGCGCCCCGAGCAGGAACAAACCCCCAAACCCCCAAACCCCCAGACCCCCAAACCCCCCGGAGGGGGTCCCGGCCCCTCACCCTTCCAGCTGCAGGCACCGGGGTCTCTGATCAGGAACAACCCCCCAAACCCCCAGACCCCCAAACCCCCCG